ATGTCGTGACCTTGTCTTCTCGAGAAAGACTCACGATTCCCTGTTAACGCCGCAATCTTTGGTAGACAGTTCACCGCCTCTCCTGTACACCCCGCCGGGATAGTACCTGCCAGCCGACGCTACCAGTCCTACCGCGTGCTCCAGCGACACCCCAACCCCGGGTATGCCGGTTGTCGAAGGCGGCACCATCTTCAGCGATCCGTTGGGATGGACGATGGCAATGCGATCTTTGTCGGGAGAGGACCCGACGATAATGTTATTGTCGTTCCACACGTCGCCTCCCCAGATGTGCGCCGGTACTCCTCCCGTGCCAAGAAAAGGACTGATCCCTCCGATCGAGTAGGATGCTCTCTTATTTTCGTTTTCCCGATCATCATCCACGGCAGATAGCCAATCGCCACCGCTGGTGACTCCACCTCTTCTAACGAGACCTCCGGTCATAAGGTGACCTCCCATATTATCTCCCAGTCTGAATGACGAAGCCTCATCATTATCATCGTCGTAAAAGACATGAGCCGCAAAGCCGTAACCGAAGGCCGACACCCTAGGATCTACTCCCGGCTTGGGGAGACAGGCGTCTAGGCCATCTAGCAGTTCGTCTTTAAAGACGGTCAGAGCCTGAACCGTATCCATATCGTAGTCTGTAGTCAACCCTCCTCTCGTGACGGAATCGACAACTTCGAATAAGCTGACCTGAGTTGCAGGATTACAAACACATCGCACGATTCCGGTAATACCGTCGATATAAGCCACGGGACAGACGGCAGCAGCGAGTCCGTTTGTCCTGGTCGCCGCCATCCTCCTCCTCCCTTTTGACACGTCGGAAGGTGATGAGTCGTTTCATCTCGAATCTCGGTATAGCCTTCTGCACATCCACAAGTCAAGAGATTAGCCTCGGCAATAATATCAAAGTCGATATCATCTACGGAACGAACGTCTTTTTTAGTGGATGTAGAGGGTAACCAACACCTTCGCCTCCACACAGGACGATTTCGTCACAGTTCATAAAACTCGCAGCTAGGGGATCCGCTCTAACGTAATGTGTATTCTTTCGCACAATTCTATCATCTTTACACGATGTCGTTTTAGTTACAATTGTTTGTTCGACGGGCAAACCGTTATCGTCGTGGATGTGATTGTAGTCCCCGATGACCCCTACCACAATATCGGTCGTGTAACGATTAATATAGTGTTTAAATTCATGATCCCTTCTTCCCTTGGGTACGCAGAGACCGACTTTCTCTGCTGCTGCTGTACTGGTATCGATTACTTCTCTTATCGTAGTATTTTTTGGTGAGGTGAGAATACCAGGTAAATGAGAGGCTTCCAAACATATTCCTCCACCGATGGTATTGCACACCTGGCACTGCGCGATAAAATTTTCGGATGACGGATCGGGATTACAGTATACCAAGGTGTCGTGACAATCTATAGACGATAATGCATTGTTGTCGACGCGATGGTGATTACTGTTACTACCTCCTGGTAGAAACCCGCCACCGATGATGGGTTCGAAATTATTTCTTTTCTGAGCTAGGGTCTCTTCATAAGAAAACTTTGAATCGTATGGATTCGGTACATCTCCGATATATTCGTATATATCCGACATAATGATCGGTTGATCTGTTTAAAATATATTGGAACACTCTTCCCCCCCTCCCTCCATAATACAAACATTAGTTTATTTATGATTTAAGTAAAAGAATAAAATAAACATATACCTTTAATAAATTTTATTATATTTACACTTCAAATATACAATATTGAACTTTGAGTGAGTCTCTTTATTTATTTTTTTTTTTCATCTATCAAACGAATTACCTTTTCTAATTTAATTATCATTCGTATATATATATACCTATATATATATAGTATATATATATATATATATATATATATATATTTATATAATATAAATATATTACATTAATCATTTTTTGATATATCCAATCAATTGTAATTTGCGCATAATATAATAAAGCCTTGTAACAATAAGAAATGTTTGGAATAAGTTCTTCGACAACTGCCTTTTTATCTGTGTCCCATAATTCTCTCCATATTTTTTATCGGGTATCTAGTCCTAGATGACTAAAATAATACTATTTGAGAGAAATTTCTTAAGCCAGTTTCTTAATGAGATATGATTAAATATACGACAAGATGACAAATACCCAAAACAAAAACAAGAATGAAAGGAGTGGCATTCTTCTCTTTTTTTTTTTATAAACAATTATACATATATCTCTACAGAGTCCTCTAGCTATAAACCAACGCGATTAATAATTTACATCGACATGTCCACGTCCCCCAGGACGTCGTAGTGTCCTATTATGTTCTGGCAATAATCGTTGGGAATCGTAGTATATTTTGATTGTTTGGAAGTGTCTAGGGTTGATGGTCAACATAACGAGATCGAATTGCGGTTTGCAAAATAGTCACAATAACACACGTCTCATTCACACATCACACAAACCACTTCATACTACGACATTTTAAAATCTAGCCTCATATTCATCTTGCATAGTGATACTTCATTCATCAACTAACCATTCACTCTCATACAACATTCTTGAAACTCACAACTCAGAATCATGATTACACACACCACACCTATACTCTATCTCATTTGGATTGCCTTCGATAGTTTATGTTGACTTTTCACTCTAAACACTAACATACGATGTTACACACCATACACACACAAGACAGATATACACATTAACACACCAAGACTCATATACAGATCACATCATAGTAGCTCACTTGATCAGCTCATTAATCACTATAAACGACACACACAGACTTTCACACATCACCACTAGCAAACATCTACGTCAAGTGGCATAGACTTGTCAGTATACTACATCTCAATAAGCGACTACCAAAACAGGCTCTAACACCTACTTAACACACGCCATTCTACCACATTCTCCAATTCGGGCATATGGTGTATTGGGATATTGTATCTGTCTTCAGTTGTATCACATGCACTCAATCTCGATTCTTACCCTTTCACTTTAGTTCAGTAAGAGACAAGATACACCAAGAGAAGCGGGATCATAATGAGACGAGTCCACTCACATTCTACGATGACAGAGCGCAAGTCCGAATCTCATTCTACAAAAGACATCATAATAGTTAATCACTCAACATGTAAGCTGGGTCTATACTCACAACGAATTACTCAACACTACTCACACTCATCTCTAACTAACACCCACGAATCGCAGCACTAACTCCGATTACAGATCACTCACCATAACCACGCCAACATCAAATCCAAATCCACACACACCATTCAATATTATGTAGGATTATGTCCACACACACTATAAGTCAACTGGCGAATCACGGACTAGAAGTACATCTTGCATAGATTAAGTGATAATCCTTCCTATCTACCGAGCCATGGCACACTAAACACATTACTCATGACTAACGGAGAGCTAATCCACTAACATGTAATAAGTTAGAATAGCTATCGCATAGGTAAAAGTTTCTTCTATTCCACTTCTAATTTCAGGCTACACTAATTTTATATATAACAAAAGACTGCGAAACTCGAGCACACCTCACAATTATTCCACATACCAACTAACACACAAAACTCCAAACACGCATTTAGTTCATAGCATTCCCGATCTCCTACATTACTAATATCCCGTGGATAAAATGATGGTTTTGTCACGCGACAGACCATCACTATCTTAAGACTAGGAGGTCGTATCAGTCGAGAGAAAGAGAGGACATGGATACAGGTGGGAAGGAGTATTGCGGGTGATATTGACGTGCTTGGAGACGGCGCGAAGTGGACTAGAGTATATGAAGCCACGCATGAGACAAGCTCTACTTAATAGTCAATATACCACCGCGAAATCAATGAGCCAAAGAGGTACAAGATTCATAACTGAGAAGTTTACTCAGGAGATGAGCAGACAGCACACGAGCGAGACGCCAAGGCATAGAGATATATACTATTGAGGGAGAGAGAGCGGTGAAAAGAAGACTACAACTGAGAAGAGACGGATTATTTGGATCTATGAGCAGGTAGTAGGTGTTAGAATAGACAGAAGGAGTATGGTATGGTTGAAGTGGTAGAGAGAGTCTATTGCAGTCTTGCACGTTCATTACTAGCAGGAATCGTCAATGAATGGGTTCCATAGCTACTACATTAATGACATGTTTTTAGATGTAACTTGTGGTCTCTTCATATATTTGTTATGGAGCTCGCCAAGTTTTGGGCGCGCACACCTTTTTCTAATGAAGCTACTGAGGAGTAACTCTCGAGGTCCTACGAACTTTCCTAAAAGCGAGAAGTATAAGGCGCGGGGTCTCTGCACGCCGAGAGAGAGTGCAATTTGCACCTTGAGTATTTTGGGTGCTTGTAACAATCAGTCATCAGCACAACGACTGTTACTACACATGGAAAGTAAGGACTGGGCGGAGAGGAAGGGTTGTATGTACAATCTGCGACGGGAATAGAGATATGACCGAAAGAAGAGAGATCGTTAATATTATGTCCATATTTTTTGTCGCATTCTGAGGAAATTTCTTGATGTCAATCTATTCTTTTGGTATGTTAGTAGATAGACACAGACATAAGGACATTATAGAGCTGAGGATAGTATAGATTCTGTAATGTACACAAAATATACCGTGAAATTGTAGCTGAAGAAGGAGTTAATTAATATTATTTCCTAAACGCACGAAGGGTCATTAACAATGAAGGTTGCGGACTCATCTAGTAACAGAGAGAGAAGGAGCACAATTGCACATATCGGAGTAATACAAGCATCCGAGGGCATGCAAAGAGAGATTGTTTTATTAATCTCTAAAAGAAAAGAATAGGTGTAGAAACCGAGGTTATGCAGAAGGGGATGGCGACACGGTTGGGATGAGAGATCGAGCGGGAAGAAGATTCATTAAAACGGATAATTGAAGTATCACATATAACAATCTATAAGTCAAATCTTGAAGATAGAGTATCCCTATTCTTATTGATTATTTTGAGTTTCTTTGGTACAATTTTTTCTAGAGATTCGTTTAAGTTTTTGTTTTCTGATTAAGTAACAATGTTTCCTATTAAGTAACAATACCACCCTAATATATATATATATATATATATATATATATATATATATATATATATATATATATATATATATATATATATATATATATATATATATATATATATATATATATATATATATATATATATATATATATATATATATATATATATATATATATATATATATGTAGTGTGTATATGTTAATAATACTCACTTACCAAAGTCGCTTTGCATACTTTTCTTGCATGTTTCTCTTGAAAATTTTCCTTTCATATCTATTTTCAATCTCTTGAGCTTGCAAAGTGTTATCTATACTATTCCTAATTAACCGAGGTACCGATAATACTGAAGTTAAGGTATTCCAGTATTTACCCATGGTTTAAACAACAGAGACGTTCTAACGACGAAACGTTATTCCAAGACCTTTGTATGTTAATGTCGTCGTTGAACACTTTCTTAAATATTGTTTCACGTTCATTGTAAGAAGATATTATGGAATCCATAAAACGCTGCGTGTCATAAGTTAAGATAATGCTACTTTTTATTAACCTATTTACATTATCTCTACATATAGCGGTCTTCTTCTATAATGCGTTCTTAAAAGAAAACAAATATTGGGTGCGGATATACTCCCATTAGCAGCATAATAATAAATGCGATCTACGGCTATTGACTCGGTCAAAAACCGACTCATCTCCTCTTCACTTTCCCAGTATTTTCGCTCGTCGGAAAATGTTATTACTTTAATCTCGCGTCGTTTTAGTAATCCGAACCAGAAGTCTATATCGACATAGCTGTCGATAATTCCATGGGAATAAAGAAACAGATGCATTAATATTAAGAGAAATCTACTTTTATCTATTTATTAACATGTTTGAATCTTTTTCTTTCCACTCACTGTATCGGTTTTCCGTATTAAGGAGGTCGTTTGTTTCCTCAGCTTTTTGTTGTGTTTAATTCCGGTAATGACGAGAAGATATTTTTGCTTTAATTGTCTATTCATTTTATAAAATTATATATATAAATATATATATATATATATATATATATATATATATATATATATATATATATATATATCGGGGTGGATATATTCTTTACCGTTTAATACTCGTGTTTCTTCTACAAGAGATACAAAGTCTCTTGTATTAATCAAGGTCTTGTGTTAATCTCTTCATAACGACAACCCATACTTGCCTGCATATAAATAATGTTAGAAAATTTATATGACATTTATATTAATACCGTAATGGTTATAGTGATGAAATAATGGAAACATTTTTATGTGTTATATGAAAGAGGGTTAATTTTGTAGACTAGCATTTTTTTTATTATATATATATATATATATATATATATATATATATATATATATATATATATATACATATATATATGTATATGTATATTTATTTATTTTTTCTTAATCTTTACAGGGATATTCCAGTCAGGATATATTTGAAGAATATGAATTTAAAAAATAAATATGAGACTCCAGTGAGGATACACTTGAAGAATGTATATGCTACTCTCACCCTTGCTACCATAGCAGCCTCTGTTGGTGGCTATGCCCACATGTTCAGCACATTTATTAGTTCTGGATTCATGACTTTTCTGAGTGCCATTTGGGTATTAATATTACTCGTATTTACACCTTATGATGGCAAAAACCAGCTGCAGAGACTTTCTCTCCTTGGTATCTTTGCCTTCTTGACTGGCTGTAACCTTGGCCCATTTTTGAATCTGGCTGTGACTATCAACCCTGCATTGGTAAGTGAATCTATTAAGGATACACATCGTCATTTTATTCATATAGTTATGTCATTAATATTTGAACGTTTAACTATATTTATATTGACTGACTTTTAATTTATTTTATATATATATATATTTTTTTTTATAGGTTTTGCAAGCTCTGCTCGGCGCAAGTGTGATATTTGCTTGCTTCTCCCTATCAGCTCTCTATGCTCCTGATGGTCATTACCTCTATCTAGAGGTACACTGATGTCGGTATTGTTAACCCTCATTTGGGTTTCGATATATAATATCTTCTTTGGCTCTCAACTCCTTTTTAAGGTAAGTCTAATAATGGAGATTGTCTTTTTTTATTATAAATCAATGAGTATTTATTATTCTGATAATTATTATTTCTATGCTTTTTATGTCTGTCTTATTTTTTTTTTAGGCAAATTTGTACATTGGTCTAGCAGTCATGTGTGGTTTTATAGTCTATGACACTCAGTTCATTGTTGAGAGAGCACGCCGAGGAGATATGGACTATGTGATGCACAGTTTGAATCTATTCGTTGACTTTGTTGGAGTATTTTGGCGCCTTCTCATGATCCTTACAAATAAGGTAATTTCTTATAGTATAGAAAATGGTAAACATGTACAATCGCCTTATTAAATATATGATAAGAGAAGAATTTGCTATGAGTCCATATCCAGTAATTATAGACGTTCAACTAACGTTGTATTTTTTTTTTTTTCAGGAGGCACAGAGCAAGAGGAAGAAAAAAAGCTGTAATAAATAAGGAAATATAACATATTACATTACATAATATTGTTTATCGGGTATTTGATATAATATTGCTTATCGAATACTTGTAAGGAATAAACCATAAGGTTATCATGATTTTTTTTAATAAAAATTTTTGGCAAAATATTTTTTTATTGACCAGACAAAAAGTATTGTTAATTCTGATTATTTTCATTGAAAAGAAACTTATTTTTGTTAGACATATCCAATAAGTTATTTTGAGACACAGGTGAAGCATTTATTTGAAGATCTACTTTACTGTCATTTTTACTGTTAATCATTTCAAATACATCTCTCTCTTTGTAAGTATTTGACTGATCATGGTCGGGAAGGTAGATGTGTTGATCATTCAATCGGAGAAACAATTCCTCCAGGAGAGAGTCAAAGGAGAGCATCTATTTTTTACTCAAGAGGTATATTAAGAAAAGATCGCCAATCTGTAACTTTTTCGAGACGTTTTGGTCCAAGACTTTCTTGTAGTGCAGCATACTCGCAGGCTTTTGGAATAGCAATGTCGACCTGATGACGGGAACGTAAAACATCAACAGACGATAGATAAACGCCGTTATACTAATGACAGTCAATACAATAAACCAAAACCACATTATAACATAAATCTTTTCGTTAATGATATTTAGGGCGAGCACACACATGAGATCGTGGATCTCAACTGTACCCGAAGGCCCATATGTATGAAAGGAACACTTGGTGACTCGCGGAAATATCACAATCATCGGGTCTGTTCGTTCTTCTTGATTGGTCTCCGTGAAGCTCAGTACGTCCGTCCCATACGTGAGAAACATCCCACCTAAAAATCTATTCATAAACCACATATTGAACAAACAATTTATTATATTGAGCAACTCGCAGAAAAAAAACTTGATGGCATAAAAGTTGTGGTGATGAAGAGAATTGCATAGATAGTCGACCAGCAGTTGAATCTTATCGCGGCGTTCCTCTTTATTCATGATGGGGGTGGCTAGACCCATAATAATAGATTCCAGCTTGCCATTTTCCCATGTTTTCCAAAGCCAATGAGGTGCGTAGAACATCAAACCCTACAAGGAAAAAAAAAAGAGATATTTAAGTATGTCATATTATATATTATATATATATATTTCTCTCTCTCTCTGTATATGTGTATGTATTTATCCATTTATGTTATACATACCTGTAAGAAGAGTACAAACGGTACCCATTGATAGTAGGCATGGTGCGTTTTCGTGTCATCTGGTAAACTAGGGCCAACGCCAGGGTATGCCAAACCTGTCCCTTAATTTCATAAAGGAAGAGAAAAGAAACTTGAATCTTTTTATAAACTTGAATCTTTTAACATTATACAGTATATTATATATACAATGCAATATATTATAGTATGAATATTATCAATTATGTGAGTAATCTTACCTCTTCCGTAGTCTTTATCAATATGCCTTGGTAACGTAAATGTCGTATGGATCCAACAATATGTGTTTACGACCTTATCTTTTAGTTTCGAGTTGTTATCATGCATGCAACTATCGGGAGAAAGTAAAACAAACCATTTGATATATATATATATATATATATATATATATATATATATATATATATATATATATATATATATATATATATATATATATATATATATATATATATATATATATATATATATATATATATATATATATATATATATATATACTTATGGGATCTCCGACTAGACTATTGGCGCTAACTAAAAGACAAAAACTAAAGAGCATCATTGCCGTAAAGCGATAATGTAGTTTGAAAACGGCACTATAAATATCCGCTGCATTGTGATTAGTTTTTACGAGTCCTCGGAGACCTGTTAATAATCCTACTAACACCATTTTGTTTTACAACATGTAGGATAAACAAGAAAACATAAATATTGTATATATTTACAATATCACTGACTAGATAAGTGTCAATATTCTAGTTAATAAATATATATATATACATATATATATACATGTGTTATTAAATCAATCTATTTTAAAGTATATCATGTTTATTTTCTCCCCTTTATTTTTTATACAATTTCAATGGGTGTCTTTGTTTGAACATTAATATTTTATAGGGTACTTGTACAATTCGCAGTTTTGATTTGTGTTTTTTTTCTATTTCTAATCTGGTACGATAAGAAAGGTGATTTTCATTTTTCCTAAATTCAATACAATATTCAAGCGGTGGTCCTTTTTTTCTAATTTCTTTCACCATATCTATTTCTCCTAATATGTCTAACATCATTTGTTTTATACTAGTTGATAAATAATACAAGTAATAACATACTTTCGAATTTGGTAACTTGTCATTCTCTAAGTATAGGTGTCTATTGGTGATAGTTTTTTCAATTCTATTGAAATCTACTATAACTTCATTATTTTCAAGATCTATAAACTTTATTAAAACTTGGTGATATTCCATATTCTCATCATTTAATATAATTTGAAATTGCTCATATAAATAGAGGCATATGTTTTTTTCGGAATTTGATTTGTTGCATATTATATTGCTAATAGTCCGGTTTTTCATCTCTAATTCATGTACCGTTTGATTGTATTGTTTCAATAAACTTGGTGAGGAATCATATGGTAGTTGCAATTGACCTCTTCCTGCTGCTGCCGTTGCCGACATGGAGGATGATGGATCGAGTTCTCGGTCCCATGCTCTGATAAAAACCTTGGATCCGCCTGTTGTTTGGGCGGACGATGGTCCGTGTTGCTGTTGTTGTGATATGTTATCCGTTAGTTGGGTTTGTGATTTTCTTTTCACGTCTATTTTCCTCATAGAAGAAACATTGTTTCGTTTTGGCGATAGTACGTGTTGTCTGTTTCGTTTTTTTTTTAATAAAAACTTTGGGAACTTGCAATTTGCTATATCGTTGTGATACATCATTTGTTGTTTGTGTTTGTCTTTCTAGAATTGGTGAGGAAGCATTACCCCTTATTTCAAAATTATAAGTTTCTTTCCTCATTCCAAAGGGATGGGAAAAAGAAGCTATTCAATTGTAATCTCTTTAATTTTTTAACATATATATCTTATGATTTTTTCTTAACAGTATATAAAAAATGTATGGTTATTATTTATTTACATTCAATTTCATTTACAATTATTATTTGTTTATACTTGTTATAAACTTTAGCTTGATACTTATAATTGATTATAAATATCTATAAAGTATTTTATACTTGTGGGTTTCATGTTGTGTTTGATCAGGGTCTAATTCTATTCTTATTCTATAAGAAAATAGACGATCTATATCTCTTTTAAAATTTACAACAATCCTCTGCGAAGGACCATATTCCCTAAGACTCATCATATTGTTCATAATATCTAAAATTTCGACCATCATTTTCTTTACAGTCCATGGTTGTCTATATATAAATGTATCTATATTTGGCTCTATATTCTGTACTTGATACATATTAGAAGAAGTAGAATATACATACACTGTTGATACCAATTTGTTTATCATAGGACACAACATCTCTAAATGAAATAAAGATACTGTGTTCATCTCTCGTGTCTCTTAGTATCTTATCCAAGTCTTCTTGAATTTTAGATAATACACTTTTTTCAAAAAATGTTCGTTCACATATATTCTTATTCAAATTGTTTTCAACTTCTGACACTTCTAACGCTAATGCGTCTGGGTAATATTGCTGTTGATGATTATCATAGTTATGATAATCTTCTTGTTGTTGCTGTTGTTGCAGCTGTAAAACAGCTTCTCCTTCAGTGGTGATTTGAGATCCATGTTGTTGTTGTGGTGGTGGCAATGTTAGGTGACGGTCTATATTTTCCAAGATTGGGAGTTCACTATAGTGTTGTTGTTGAATAATCTCGTTATCGTTTTGAATTGTATTAAAATCCTGTCGTTTTGACGATAACTGATCTGTAATCTGTTGCTGTTGTTGCGGCTGCTGTTGCAATTGTAACATGGTATATTCGTGGTCTGTCCAAACTAAATCTTGAGATCTGGATCTCATATCATAGATTTGTTCTGGTTGTTGTTGATCCTGTTGTTGATATTCCTGTTTTCTTTATGTTCTTGTTCTTCTTTATATTCTTGCTGATCCTGTAGTTCTTGTTGATCCTGTTGTTGATATTCTTGTTGCTCTTGTTGTTGTTCTTGCTGTAACGTATCTGTTTTTGGGGTATCATTATTAAATTCATCTTCATCATCATCGTCCTTTTCATTAATAAATTCATCTTCATCGTCATCGTCCTTTTTCAAGACTTGGAAATCGCCATGCTTTTTTTTCTTGATTGAGTATCGTAGATGGCTTATTTTCCTCTTGTTTCTCGTCATCTCCTCCAATCTTGGCTTTCTCTTCCTTTTTTGTAGTTTGTAGTTTGAAATTTGTAGTGAGGCCTTTCTTAATCTCATGGTAAGGTGGTTCTTTGGGAAGAAGAGAAATATATGCTCTTAGCTCCAGTATTCGTTTAAATTTATATTTTTAGATTTATTTAATTATATTTTCCTCCCACATAATAGGTGAAAGATGTAACGATATTGTTATTATTATTTATTATACTCACCGTTTATAAGAATAAATCTTCTTTTTTTTAATTGTATATCTCTTTCTTGGTACGATCATGTTAACATATTATACATGTCATCCTCATCATTTCATATGGATTGACAATATTAGCACTTTTGCTGCATATTTTTTCTTCAGTATTTTTGCACATTTCTTCATTTCTTTTTTGCGTTTCTTTCATAATATTATTCTCGTTACATATATCCTCATTTTTTTTTATTTCATCATTTAACTCTTTTAGCTTCGTGTTATTTAGTTTTATTCTAACATTTAGCATCGTTATTGTGTCATTTAACATCGTTATTGTGTCACTTATTATTGTTATTATATCACTTATTATTATTATTGTGTCATTTATAGTCTCATTCAGAGTTGACGAGGATGGCGTGATGGTCTTGGTGGTCTTGTCGGTTAATGTAAGCAAGTTTTCATTATCATCATTCCTATTTTTGTTATTGATATCACCATCGTGATGGTGCTGTGATTTATTAGTTGTGCTCATTTTTATTTTATCTATATATAGATATTGTTCTATCAACCAGAGAGTTGTTTTTAGACCATTGTTCTCTGGTTAACCCCGACAAGGACAAATATATTTATAAGGACAATTAAGTATATTTTTTACTTTGATGGGTTTTAATAACCTGTTTGATAGGTTCTAATAGCCTGTTCAGTTAAGCACATATACATTTTTGTATATTCTCTCCTTTGAGATTAGTAACGA